GGACTGACTCATTAGCCAAACGGAGGGCTATTTTTTTTGGATAATGGATCCGATGTTTTCCGGTTGATTGAAATTCCCTGACCATGTGCAATTGTCGCCCGTAATTTTTTCATTATAGTTGCGCGCTGATTTTTTTCTTTCTGAGAATTGAAAAGAAAAATCTTTTCGCAATCAATTATTTTCCCCAATCATTACTCTTTATCTTGTCCTTCAGTTCTATTTCCTCAACCGTCCGACAATCGGTGGATAAAGAAACGAATGCGAGTGTGACGTTTGCAGAAACGTTAATGAAAGAACGATAATTGGAATTCGCTCGCTTTGAGAACCGATGGGAGAAATGTCGATGGTGGATTCCATTCTCTCGGGTACCATCGGAGTTATTTCAGAAATAGATTTTTTTTTAAATTCAATGCAGTTCAGTCATCGAGGTAGAAAAATCATAAATCATCGAGATGAATTTATTCATTCAGGCAGTTAGAAAAATTATGGGTTCTCAATGTATTCATTCCCGTTGGGTAATTGTATCCTCGCAATTATTCGTTATAAATCTCCATGACCTATTACATTATCACCCAGTTATCCACGCCCTTATCATTCATTACGGAACTCGTTACTGGAAAATTTTCGGTTGTTTCATTCCTATCTGATGGAAACCTTGAATTTCATGGACTTTTGAGTAATAATTTTGAGGCGAGTGCCGGAAAATTTCGATGATAAAAAAATTTTCCTGAGTCAAATGGATGATCTAAATGGATGTTCCTGGAAAATTTTTTAATTTTTATTTATGAATTTTCTTGAGGTTTGAAAAAATGTCGTGGTTTCACTAGTGAGCAGTGGAATAAAAATGATAATGTTACGAGGTGCTTGAATAGGAGATAATGATCAGAGGCGATGATCATTACACCCGTTTGCGATAGCGATGGCTCTTCACGATTCCATCAGTGTCATTCCCTGTAGTCATTACTGGTGATATCGGGAGGATGTCGATATTTGAGGTGCATTGACGATATAGTTAATCCTCCATCGAGAGGTCACTGTCTTTTGAAGTAATGGAAGGGGATTTCAGTCGAGTTGAAAATCTGATTGTCCAATATTTTTGGACAATCCCCCCACGACGCAAATCATCGCAAAATTATGTAATAAGTGAGACATGTGAAGTTCAAGTTTTGTTAAATATCGCTTGATCTGAGGGACTATTAATCTTACGTGAAACCATAAGAAGACCTTCTTTGTCGGAAATTTTATAATCTACAAAAAAGCCTCTCAAGGCTTCTTCCTTAAACCAATAATTTTCGTGATGAAAAGTTTAACACGCATTTTTAATTCGACTTATCTCACTTTACTACTTCATAGAAAAAAAAGAGCTTCCCGATATTAGAAAAAAAATCTCGATATTTGAAAACAAGTTTCTAGATTTACTGAAACTAGTTTGTTGATTCTAGAAAAATTTTATCTGATTTTGCAATATTCTTTTTTGCTACCAGAAAGAATGGTAGATTCAATAAATCTTTCTCAATGAAAGAATTTACTTTCACATTAAACTTTTTTCAGAAATGTGAACAAATTTATTTCTAACATCAAAAAACTTTATCTCTGACTGTTCGCTATTGATGCTGAATAAATATAAAGTAAAAACAAATATCAGATATCTTTTACCCTCGACAACTTCTCCATAATCGTCTTAACGCAATAATTTCCCCTACAATGTAACGGACAGTCGCTTGTTTACTCTATCATCTCATTTTTCACATTGGATAATCCACAATCGAAAATCCATTGAAGGATTACCCGGAGGTTTTTCCGAACTGACCAACCCCATGAGAGATTTCTCCTCAACGCGTATTGCAATATGATCCGGAATATTCTATTGTTACGGTTTTATGGGATCTTTTCTATCAAACACGTATCGCTTATATTCAACTTGGTAAAGGGACAAATATTATCTCGATTTGTTGTACCGTCTGGGGTCTCGGTAACAGTCTGCGGCTAGAATCGGATCTGTCAGCTTAAGGCTATAGAAAACACTCACCAGAACTGGCGCCGGACTGAGTTACGCAATTTTTATATCGGCCATTGCACAGGCCATCGGTTATTTATATTGACAATATGTATGAGGGAATTGCTTAGTTTTGTGACAGATTGACCGGCACTCGTAAAAGATGCACTCCAATTCTACATTCTAACTAAAAAATATTCAATTATAATATAATAATATCCCAAGAATAATTGATTAAAAAATTGTGGCAATCTTAACCGATCGGTTGCAAATGACTTGACACATTTTTTATACTAATCATCGGTATGACATCGGTATGACGAAAATATTGAGATATAGCTGTGAATTAGCTTGAATATTTTTCATGAAATTATCTCAGATGTATTCCACAAAATCGTAAAAGACCTACCGTAAACAATAATTGCGGTCACTTGTCCATCGTACTGGCAATCACCATTAGGGTGATAAACAAACGATCGCAATTCCCCATTAAATTCCCTAGCTTCACTATTTACAGCTCTATTAATTCCTCGGTAAATCCACCACCAAAGCATTGGGGACTGTCCCCCTGGAGCTGTTGGTGCAACATTAGCGGATTTAATTGAAAGTAATATCACACCGATGAGAGATTAGATGAGAGATTTTTATGCCCACGTAAGTGAAAAGAAGGGAAATGAAATTTCATCAATGAGTTTCATTTCCCCAAACAGATATATTTTTTCCTTCATTATTTATTTCGCCTTCTTCTTGTCGAGTTATAATAAATCTTATAATAAAGAAATGTTTCTGGAGAGATTGCATCACTCGTAATGAATGTGAGTCCACGGGGAGTACATTTGGGGGGTTAATTTTTCCCTGGTGTTGCACCGAATCCCTGAAATGAGGATAAATCCCCAGGAAGTGAGTGAGAATGCGGGTCATTAGGTCGAATTTTATGTCCCCGGAGGGGATGAATAGGTGTATCTCGTAGCTTCCTGATGGTGATGAGGTTGATGATAATCCGGGTGACGGTTTTATTGGACCGGCAATGAGAGCATTCATTCCCTGTTTTGTCGATCCAGGAGAAAGTGCGAGTACTCAACGGCCGATACTCCGACGGAAAATCTATTTTATCTCTCGGGTATCCTCCGATTGCCTCGAGGTGATATTGGGTTGTCTCGAATAATACTGCACAAAGCCTCCGAGTGCACGCAATTTCACTTAATTGGACTAGCGTTGCTAGTGTCCGGCATTGTCCGCACTCTGATTGATTTTCAAATAACCGGTTTGCCTATTCGCAGGGGGTTTGTCTACGGTTTTAATAATGCAGGGAGCTAGATTGTTTACACCACTTGGATTTTGTAGTGAGATAAGGGAAAGAAATGGCACCATTTGTTCGTGGCGTTATGATTGAGATTGGATCCGGTATGAAAGGCGATATACGCACACGGGAAAAATAATAGTTGCACGACTGGAAAAATTGCTATCGATGCGGGAAAAGTCGGGCATAATCAAGGGCTAGTCGACCACTATTTCTCGTTCTTTCGAATACAGCGACGCAATTTTCCATATAATTTCTTTAGAGTACAATGAGGAGAGAAAAGGGAGTTATAATAATTCGATTATCGCTCGTGGACTCGGAGATTTTCTCGGAAAATTAACCTATCAAGTAAATCGACTTGTTAACCTTCACCACTTCACCATTTCACAATAGAAATTATTATCGCGGTGATTTGAGGTTGACGTAACTTGAAATTGACTTCATGAGCGAACATCCCGGGCTTCTTATCATTGAGCTGTCACTCGTGCACATGACCCCGATAACGAGTACAAATCACGCGGAAAATCGGGCGAGTATCCAATATGTATCCGATAAAATTCTCGATACATCGAATGGTACAAGTATGTGAAAATATATCATATATTGGCTGAAGGTGACGCTGTCTGGTACACGATTTTCCACATAACTTTCTTCCGCTCAGTCGTACGTCAAAATACTGATGCTATTGGCATTTTTCCGTTATAAAAATGTCCTTGGGTCGTTATTGGAATGATCGTGTTAGTCAATTTGAGGTTACATAAAATTTAACTGACTCTTTTGAACGTTATTACGTTGCAATTTCTTCAGGTGGGAAATGGGCGAAAGTAATTTCCGGGTGCGCCAATGCCTATATACAGGATAATCTCGAGGAAAGAGAAAATATGCGTGCTGGCCTTAGGGCAAATAGACCCAGAGCCTTGGAAAATCCTCTCCACAATCATCCTCTCCTGATGCTCAGAAATCCTCTTATGGTGCCTCTAGAGGTGTGCACCAGACACAACTCTAAATCACATTAGGTTATCAGGACGCTTATCAAATAGAAGAAGATCGAGTCAATGTCGTGGAAATCGAATAATCATTAATGTATTCGTAGAAATTTTTCTCACCTTCAGTGAACCGTGCAGAGAGGTTTTTCGAATTTAAAAAATGTCAAAATTCAGAAAATCGCGAAAATTCGGGAATTAAATTGGTTTTTTTTTTTAATGAGGAAAATATGGAAAGAGTGATTCAATTTACAATCTCGTTGTCTAAAATCCCCTATTTTTTAATTTAATTTCCATTTATCCCATGAAATTCACTTCGTCCAAATCACCTATATCATGACAAAATCGGGTCAATGATTCGCCGGGAGGACAATCGCGTGAGTCTGTTCAACGATAGGAATATCCACCAATGAATATTTATTTTTCCCCCGACAGCCCGTTCTGCTCGACCCTCTGTGATCGCAATTTACGACCGAAAATTTGTGCATAAATTGCCACCGAGAGGTGATACACCGATTTTTGTGTTCCACAGGGCATCATCCATGAATAACATTCGCGAAAAATACTACCGTTTAATGTTTTCTCCGCTATCATCTCTGAAAGAAAAATCCCATTTTTTATGCCCGAAAAGTATTGAAAAGATATCTCCCCAGAAGTATTTCTCCCTTTAATATTTAATTCACATTAAAATGAACTAATTACGTTAAATTTTTTATTTCAGGAGTTGCATCAAATAATGAGTGTCTGTCTCGTTGAAAGTGAAAAATAAAAAAGTGTGAGATAAACGCCGACCTGAGACCATCCCAACATCATCGTCAGCGTGCTCCATATCAAGGTGAGTAATTCAAAAATATTTAATTTTATCTCGTCCCCATTCCGTGCAAGAGCGTTAATTCGGTGCTCCCTAGAGTAAAAGTAGAGATTTCCCCGGGTAAAAAAACGCCATCCAACACATGAGTAAAATAATGTAATACGAAACTGCGAGTGACACAGAATGACGTCAATGGGGTAAAAAGTAGAGGCGAGGTTTGCCCGTAATAAAATACAAACGAATTTAATGAATTGGAAAATGTCGGTGGAATATTACTCGAGCACTATCGTGCGGATGTTTCAACATTAAATCCTGCTGCTGTATCGCATTTTCCACTGGTTGCTTTCCAGTTTGTGTTATAATGCGAGGCATATAATGACATTCGTGAATTATTCTTTCTCTCTGGGTCTTTCGCCAGGTCAAAATGACAGGTCGTTTGTATGTCTCGTTACCCTGTGTCTGATATAGCTTCGAGAGAAATCGATGACTCGTTTAACGATCCTTCAAACAAAAGGTCTGTTATGGCTCGGGATATCGCTTTGGCTCGTTGAGTCCTGGGGATTTTATAAACGTCTTATCGGGCTTGGGGTACATGTCTCATCGCTCTTACAGTTGATATTTCTCTTTGGAGGTATTTCTCGAGAGCGTTGCCATTATTTTTCACATTTGAGAGGGTGCAGTTTCAACATTAGTTGAGGAATTCAATTTGTTCAACTATAATTGGAATTTTTCCCATCGCGATGAGAATATTTGGAGGAATTCTATTTAATTCGTCAGTCCATTAAGTCCTACTGTTAAGAATTGCAATTCTAGTCGCAAAGTCATTTTTTTATTTCAATCAAAAATTGAAATTCAATTCAATTCAATCAATTGAATTTCGGAACTATGAATTGTGAATAATTCATTTCAGGTGTAATTTTCCAATAGTAAAAATAGAGAAAATGATTTCAATGAAACCCCGAATACTAGAAATATAATATATATTCCGAATAGGATTCACTCTAAAATGATCGATTTCCCATTGATTGAATCGGTATGATTTACCCATCCCTCGATTCGAAGGTCATCGGAGTTGCAGTGATGCATAAATCACTGGTGGCATTCAAAATTATTGCCCGAGGCCCTTAATGCAATTTTCAGAGTCGCCTTGTTATGGAAGTCTCGTACTCAGGAGTTTCCGAGGGCGGTGATTCATTGTGAGTCACCTCATTCATGCACTATCTCGAGCAGATTGAACCGACATTGAAGTTTTTTTTTTTTATTATCAACCCCCCTTCAACTCCCCCAAGAAAAGCTGTTGTATCGGACTTTGGGCTTTCCGAACTAATTCTCAAGTTGGTCGTCGACCCTGCAACAACGTACGTGCAGGGTTGTTCGTGACTCAGTGCAATTCGCGTTCAATTATATAGATGTAGTTTAAATACATTCTACGGGGTGTGTATAGTTATATCTATTGGTCGTCCAGCACACGCCCTTTTGCGCAACCCCCGGGATAACGTCGACAGCTACTGACGTACTTGGCATTTTATCCGACGAGTGATACTCGAGTGTTGGATGCACCGGGGGTGAATTTCAAGTGGTGGGATTTCTTTGTTCAAATCTCGAGGGTGTTGAAGATTCTAGTTAAGGCCTCGAATTTCTTCTCTACTCGAATTTTCTTGATTTTTCTTCCAAATAAAAAATTTTACGCAATTTTGCGAAATAGGAGAAATAATCTAGTTCGATGCGTAAAAATGAATAATTTCAAGAAGAATATAGAAAATATGCAATTGCAGAAAAGTTATCGAGTTTTCAATAAATATTTCTCTCAGTGCAAGGTTTCGAGGGTCGCACGCAGTTTTTCGTGAATTTTTCTCCCGGCGAAGGTTTAGCCCTCCACCGCGTAAATTTCGTACAGAAATGGGGAATTTCGTCGTTCACACAGTTGGATGCTTCCTGTAGCTAGTTCGCTCGACGGATTATGAATATGCAATCTCTATCATCTGATAGACCCAACGACCCGTGCAATCTCGTGATAACGAGGAACCAGATACAGGTGTATCTCCAAGCTCCATCTGCAGTAATATTTTTTTTCCACCAACACTGCTAACAATTTCAAGTCACTTATCCAATTAATTCCTCCGCTCGCGTATGACAACACCGTTCGATGAATATAGATATAGTGTTTTTTGCGTAATTGAATAGTAACGATTGAATGAATGTTATGCTGCGTTAATTACGTTGGAGGCTCGCGATCCTTTGCCGGAATTGGAGGCGTACCACAATATACAACTCGCCCACGTTAATTTTGTAGGAATAATCAGTGAGAGAAGCCATTTGTTGGGAAAAACAGAGAATTGCGTGATTTCTCGCTAGCGGAATTTACAAAGAGCACTGAAATTGTAATTGTCACCGATATTGTAATTATTCATCGATTCATGTTGAAAACTTTCGACTCCAGATTGCAGTTCTATACTTGTATAGATTTTTTTAAATTTATTTTTTCACTCTGGATTCGTGATATATCCGATTTTCATATTACAAAAAGTTTTATAATTCAATTTTAGTTTGTTTAACAAATAGTAAAATTGTGACGATCGAGTCTGAACATAATAGAAGTGCAATATCTCATATTCTTTCTCTATATTTACCGTCTTTCCGTTTCCACATGACCGAAGAATTAGAGGTCGGACGTAAAATGATTGAATCAATAGTGCTTTGAAAAGTAACTGCCGCTAATCACAGTTATTACATTATCACACGGTTTTATAGTCCATCCGGATATCACGATAATGACCCAAGTCGGGTCTGCATATTGATTTGGTATGTATATCCTGCAATTTCCATTATTGAGACCAGAAACATTATGCAATCATATTCAATGATAAATATAAATTGCGTTTTACGATCGGCATGGATATTATGTTTCCTACTCTCCGTAAATCATTGACGAAGGGTATTCCTTATCTTGGATATCAAGAATTATTAAATTCAGATTTTTCCTTGGGAAAAATGACAGATGCCGCGAAAATGCTCGATATTTTTCCAAACATACCAAATCATATTTTCCCACTACTTCCGGGTATAGAAAAAGTCCCACCTTTTTGGTCTCATTTCAGTTTCAATTATTTTCATATCAAATTATTGAGATAAATATTTTAATCACACATAGTTATTTTTTTATTCGGTTTTTTGTTTTTTTTTGTTTATTTAAATTTTGAAAAAAATTGGATTATCTCGTATTTATTGATACACTGAAAAATAATTGAATATTGAAATCGAATACAAATGGCACACCCCCTGTTAGAATTGATGGATGGCAAAAAAATTTCGTGACTCGCGCTCATTTCGCCGAGAATCTCCTCGAGGAACGTCTGCTCCGGAGTGTACAGATCTAATTGGAGCCTCGGGGAACACGGAATGAGAAGCGTGGTAGAAAAGGGAAGTAGAGGGTTGGAAAAAACCGTGAAAAAAAAATCAACTACAAAAGGGAGAAATAATAAAACCGACTGCCGGCGAGAAAGGAGCAAAACGAATTTCACCGAGTGAGAGGGACAAAACTGTATTGTGCGCTTCTCCATCGCGCGTTCCTGACTCCAACAATTCCAGAAGTAAAGAGGGACCGAAAAAAAACTGGAATAGAGAGAGTGAAAAATAAACATCAAGTGGCACCTCGGCCATGTGAGAACAAGAAACGAGACAAAGTGGAAGAGGAAACAAAATGAAAAAAAAAGGGATGAAGTGGAGACTTCTTTTCTAACTCGTATATCGTTTCCCCACTGGAGGGATCAAAGAAACTTGACGTGATTTTCCTCTGACGTACCACTTGCGGAATGTTTTCACAGCAAGACCAGGCGAAAATTACATACACCGCACAGGCAAATAAACTCGGCGGAAATAAATTGAATAAACAATTGAATTTTCGGGGGGTAATGCAATATGGGTCAATTTACTTGGACCATTTTTTTTGGGTCACGGCTAGTGTTGGGGGGAAATGCTTGGACACTGGTTAATGCATTTTTTCCGCTGAGTTTATTAGGAAATTCAACAGCTAGGTTTTATTTACTGGGGGGGAAAAGCCTTGGTTGGGGGAATTTCCGTGATAAATACGAGGAAATCAAGTTTTCAAAATGAAAATGAGTATGGACGGTTCCATTATTAATTTGTTTTCATTTGTCGTCATTTCATATGAGCACAATAAGTGAAATATGCATCACAATATGTACAGGATAATTTCGAGGATCCTTATCGAATTTTTGAAACGCAGTGCAATTTTTGACGTTTGATTTTTCAGTTTTTATTTTTCAATACAAAATATTTTTCGTTAACTAACTGAAATTGATTAGAAAAATAATTTTCCGCCTCCAAAGGCCGTAAATGTGTGTCGATATTCGATAATAGTTCGCACACCCCAATCGTACATCTCTCAGGGTGAAAAAATAGGGGCCACTGTGGGGTGGGAGGAAATGCCAACCGGAAGTAACACATGACATGACCCCTTCGGCTTTTGGGGAATGAGACACAGGGCTGTATCACGTGATACTCACTTCCGCCTTTACTCTGTTGACATCCATCATCTTGATGGGAAGTTATATACGATCTCATTTCGGGAATCCAGTGGGAATCGGCGAGATTAGGGTTCTAGTGGAATAGTCTTGAATGCCGGAGAAAATGAAAATAACTGAAAACGTAATTTTCGCGGTGGAACTGGCGATTATTTTTCTCTCTGGATTTAATTATTCAAAAATTTCATACATTTTTTGGGAATAAATCTCCCCAAAAATCGATCTAGCTCGGATTTTTTCCCGTCATTTCATCACTTCCGCAATTTTCTCGCTTTTCCGCGTATAAATTCTCGACTTGCAGGAAGACAAATGGTTTCTAAATTCTGGAGATTATTCGTGGTGAGCAAGTTATCAGGAACAATCTTAGTATGAAGTTATAAACTGCGTATTGCCGATGTAATGAAATTCTTAGACAACTTTTCTCATACGCAGAAAAGCTCCAACTTAACTCGGTATAACTCATTAAAATTTATAGTGAAG